CGGGAACATACCTATCCAAACAGCTTTTACCAAGTGCGAGATGTTAATACGTGCCTTGCATGCAAATAATTGTTGTCTCCAAGCTACCGGCATGAGACGCTTGGTGTTTCTCACATAAAAGCTGGATCGCTTGAATATCATCGGTACGTCTGTTTCGTCGTGTTTTTCAAGACAGGTATAGTTACATGTTACCCGTTGTGTACACCAGCACGTTAGGTTGACTCCATAATGGAAGTTCTTTTGATAATGGAACCAGTAAAACCGCCAGATTTAACACACCGATCCATGTCAGCCAGTGGGATCTGAGTATGCATCTATTCTGCCAAGCGCCCACTGCATGGCTTGTGACACAGTCGCAAGAGATTCCTTTCCGCACGCTAATGCCGCTGGTTGAGAATTGTGGCCTGGTCGAAGTCTGACACGCTGGTTCCTGAAAGCATGTGACCATATTCGATTGGCCTAGTTTGTAGGCGCACCGCTACTGCCGGCATTGGTATCTGCATATGCACATCCCCCCCCCCCTTATGCATGGGATGGGCCGCACTGGTAACTGGGTGAGCTGGGACCCCCAAATTGGATACCCTGTGATGTTTGTCTGATAACATGACACCTTTTTGCGGCATAGGCGCTCTGGACGGTTCGTGGTGCACGTGCGGACTTTGGTATGTCTCTATCCTTTGGGTGTCATGCATGCGGGATGCATTTTAGCTTCGAAAGTGGTGCTCATCGCGGCCGGCATGTTGGGGCTTTTGGTCGCCATCAGTGGTTAGTTAGGCTGGGTGAGCGTTCAGATACGACAGGCTCCAAACATATGCATGCAGCGCGTGCTGTGGTACATGGGTACCCCTCGTGTCATCTATCATCAGCTACGAATGCTAAGAAGCCATGCATATTCGTATTCAAAGGTCGCGGCACGCTTTGCCAGTCAGTTGGAGAGGGCATGCAGACTAAGCTTGATATGCATCACGTATGCGTGGGCACGCACTGGTATCCCGCCATACTCTCCGTGTAGCGGGATACCAGTGACTTGACTTGACTTGATAACGTTTGGAGACTGGAGCGCCAGAGCTTGCCATCGCTACTCGGAGGTTCGGTAGCCGCGTAGAGTTCGGATACGATTTTGACCCAAAGCTAATGGGCTCACTGCTTGCTCCCCAGTTGTAGTGTGCATGCGCCTGCCATAGAAGCCTTCTGTTTGAGTGGTATGGGAACCAGACTGACAGGAGGAGGCTGGTTTAATGCACTTTCCATTTTGGGTTAACATGTATAAAATAGCCACATGGTGATGCTGGAATAATTGAATTAAAACATTACTTGGCCTACGAACGTTCTCCCAATCTCCTGTCCTGCCAGAAAGTTGTTCTACTGAAGAAAACAATAGGAGCACATTGATTTGGTAAGTGCTATCCATGACGTCTTCTCCAGCCAACCAATCAGCTATCTGGGGTGGGCTAAGTCCAGCCGTTATAGATTTAAGTTCGTTGTGTATGGGAATTATATGTTTATAGCAGATGTGTCCACAAACCTTCTTTAATGGACACTTCATTGGGCCTTTTGAACATAACACACATGCATGCAAATGATCATTTTATTGTTTGAAAAAATACAGCAACAATGCACCGGACTAGCGAATGTTCTTCATAGATTCGAATGATGCAATCACACTTATTAGCATTACACAATGGCATGGGCATACAACAGACAAGTTGGAAGACTATTACCGCCCGGCTAGTTGTAGCGAGGCCTGTAGCCGACAATCACACGCTCATACTGAGGCTCGTAGGAAGCACGGACCTCCTCCTCATCTCCTCCTCCTCCTCTCCTCCTCCTCAGCGGGGCTTCATATGTCTCCTCGTCGTCGTCTTCATCAGACACCTCAGGGGTGGGGTACTCGGTGGGCACGGGGGTGGGCAGGTGGTCGCCCTGCGGCTGGAAGCCGCCCTCGCCGGCCGAGTACACCACGGTGTAGGTGACGCCGTCGGGGGCCACGTAGCTGAACTGGCCGCTCACACTGTAGCTGTCGTCATCTTCCGTCTCGCCAGACTCCGACACCGAGATGCCGTTCTCGGTCTCGAAACTAGAATGATAAATTCCTTGATCAAAGGCCAGAAAAAGCAAGCAACAAGCTTTGTCCAATCGACGATAGCCGGGGGCACCAAAGTTTCAACTGCAAATTATAACCGCACCAGACGCGTCGACCAAATGTCACAGATTTTCAAGCAGGCAAGTTCGCACACTGAAACGAATCGTATCAACGTCAGGCCGGATTAGAGATTTGGGATCTGATGAAGACCAGTCAACAGGGAACGACTCTTCTATAATATGTACCAATGCATCCTGCGGTTCGAAGTTCGCCTCTTGTTTCCGGTTAATAAATACAAGCTATTAAATGGTTTGACTAAGCGACAGCCAGGACTCATGATTTGAGACAATGCTCCATCAGGTCAACATCAGATGTCGCGAGGTGATCAGAGCAGAACAGAACAGGTCAGCAGAGCGC